AATCCACTGTAGGCGCTCTGCAAGCAAACTGCCGCAAACATAAAGAGTCGGTGAAGCTGACAGGGTGAACGCTACACTCACAAGTGGAAAAAAAGCCCTCAGTGGATAGACTGCATACCCAGTCACATAGATCGCGGGGTGCTTCTGAACAAACGATCCTGGATGTACGAGCAATCGCGGTGGATGCGGGGATGAAGTTGTAATGACAGACACCTGCTGACTGCCCACCCGTCTCTCCAACGGCACGAGTGAGGCACCGGGTGGTTGGTAGTGATGAGGAGAACCAAGGGCATATGCCATGAGTTTTGCTGTGCCCTTGAGGTCCAACGACGGAACCCACGGCGTGCGATTTCAGCGTTCCTGTCATGTGGTTGTAATAGGGCTTCTGTTGTGATACCTGTTGGAACATCTAAAGCGGGGTGTTGAGGACTGTCCTATTTATCGCGACATAGCCATGCCAGGACGGCACCCCGCTTTAAGTGTGTTCCAACGACTGACTGTTAGCTGCGTGGGCGGCGCCTTGCCCGTTGCTGTTGGTACTGTTGGTGTAACCAGTGCCTGTATGCCAGTCCTCAACACGAAAATCCTCGATCGCTGGCAGCACGGCTGACCCGAATGTTGGCCAATCCAATCGGAAGATTTGGGTTCAAAGTGCATATCCCGACAGCCACTTCGGCCCCCAGGCACCTGTTGTCACTTTTGATGGTTGGGACTTTAACATCTCACGCCCCCGCAAAACTGGTATGGAAATGCTGCAGATGGGTGATGTTTGGGTGATCTTCGGGAAGGACAACACCACCCACCATTTCGATAGTCCTTATGGCTTACACTACCGGCGCCGGAGATAGACCACGTTTGATTCGAGCGTCGGCCTCGGGAACTGCATTCATATGCGCAGACGGCGGCTAGAAGTGTGACTTCGGTTTCTGTGGCTGACAGGAGTCACCGTGATTGGGAATGCTAGCCGCCAGAATGCAGCCAAATCTGCCACTTCACGGTTGAGTACACCCCCATGTGGGTTGCTGAGGTCTGTGAAAGATAGCTCGATAACTGAACCGGGCTGACATGTCTATCTATGGGTGTGTTGGGTAGGCTGTGAAATGGTAGGCACCTGAATGTCTGTACTTCACATTGAGATTCTGGTTGTTGGTTTCTCTTCGCGCTCTTCAGGGTCTAGACAAGCTTCTAATGTCGTTGAAACGGCTGCGCCATCACGATCCCGAAATTTGAGTTCTTACGCAGCGTAACTGGGAGCTAGATGGGCGCGAGCCGCGATCAAAGTCCGATTTCGAGAGATCGGTTTCCGATACGGGGCAATAACAGGCGATGAAGTTGGGGACTAGCCCAGGCAACAGAATAAAATGTGGCTAAACTTAACGGCCGTGTCGATTGCGCGGGGGTTCCTGGTCTCCAGAACAATGCTGCCCCTCACTCCAGGCTTAGCATCTGCAGGTGAAGAGGGGGTGGTGTTGTCGAATCAGATACCGAGACTGGAATACCTTCTTCAATGCAATGGGATGTTCCAAAAAGGCATCTTGCATGCAGATATCGAGGATATCAGCATGTACTTAAAGGGGGGACACTAGCTTGGCCACTCAGGCTACAGTATGTATGGCTGGCATGATTGGGATGTATGTAAAAGTCTAATGCCAACATCCAGAGGACGGACCCCAAAGATCTCGGGCACCTTCACGGCTTCACGCTAGAACTTGTCTGGAGTCAATCCCGTTGTGGATGATGCTTAACTTGTGTGGGCAGGCAAGCTTGGCACGGACTTGCGAGAGTATGTATAAGTGGATCTCGGCGGCACAGGGCTGGAACACTAACTTTGGTCCTTGGGTCTGTCTCATCATCTCATGGCTTGGGTTGTTATTCAAAAGTTGATTGAGACGGAAGTAGTCATGAAATAGGAGACCAGACCTATGCATTCTTGGCATGATTCGGCAACCAGGTATGCTGTCAGACTGAATTATAGACCGACTGCACTTGCATCTCCTGGGACAGGGCATACTGCACTGTCAGCTTGATTTCGATTGGTTTGCCCACTTACGAGAGTCTTGGAGCAGACTATTGGACTCCATTCTTTTCCCGAGTTTGGCAGGTGAGTGCACTAGTGTAGATGTAGACCGAGCTGGGTTTCTTCGTATTCTCTCTCCCTGGCCACAAAAAAACCGAAGACACTATACAATTAGCAGCCTTTCATACACACCATTCTCACTCAAAGACAACCATACAATTCTACCAAAATTCTTATATGTTTCAAAAGTACTAAAACAGTAGTGTTTAAAAGATGAGAGGATTTGATGAAGTGGTGGTTGAGAAAACTACGTTTTAATATAGACGTGGTTGTGTAAGTGACGGTGATTTAGGTTATTCCACCAAAGACGAGCGCCGCTGGAAAGAAGTGGGGTCTCCCGAGAACTATCGCCGTGCGCGTCGTTGTGATCGCCGAAGTGTCCGGGGCTCCGGCCGCCCGGCTTTTTGTTTCAATATCAAATACCCTTTCGGCGGTCGCGAGAACGTCAAACACTCTCCTTCCCTCATCTAAGTAAACAAGCGCCGCGCATGAGCAGTGTTTGGAACAGCTGTGCCAGCGCCGCAAGGGCTCACGGGCTTCGAGAACAAATGGAAGACAATGCGGGAAGACTCGAGCCAGCGGCGGAGATGACATGTCTTGGCACAAAAGTCCGACGGGGGACTTTTGAGGTTGGATCGCTTGTCGTTCGCCGTGACAGCAGCAAGAAAGACCTTGAGAGTTGCACAGAGGCGCCTGTCGGGCGATGTTTGTAGGACACATTCTCCCAGATGTAACTGCAAGAGTATCATTTTAGGACCTCCAATGCCCCGGAGCTGGAAAGCCTTGTGACAGTGGTGGCCTAAGCTGCGCCTACTGTCCAGTGCAACCCCTGCTGTGTCGGGACATGCGAGACAACCGCTCGTCAATCGTTTAATGTTCGCCGGTTTGCCGCGATGGATGGCCCGTGCACGCCCGTTTTGACCGGTATACGCTATGCACGATGGGGTTCTTCGAAACGGAATCAGCAACTTGACCCAGTGCGTCGGGACAGGGTTCAGGATCCTTCAACACGACTTCATCTCCTCTGCCGCACACTCGAGGTGCTCGCCCACACCAAAGAAATCATTCCCCCGCTGACAGCTTGTTCACAAGTCTCCCCTCAGGATACGCCGGTCATGAGCCACCGGCAGGCATTTCTCTCGGAGACGACGAAAACATGTACCTATTGCAACTTCGCCTGAACCCTTCACATCGCTGCCACATCTTTCCACAGGTATTTTGTCCGTTTTTTTGTCCTCCCGGCGAGGACTTTGAGTCTTCTGCAGGAGTGGATCTTGCCAGACTCCCCATGTCTCTCAACGAGGCAATTTGACCCATTGGCTGTCCCCGCTGACAATACTGATCCTGCCCCGCTATATGAATAACGTCGTCTCTGGGAGTTCTGCGACATCCCTTTCTCCTCGCTCGTCTGCCGTCATGCCCACCAAACCCTCCGAATTCTTCACCGTGGCGGTATTTGGGTCTGGCGCCGTGAAACGTCCAAGTCAAACCCGCACAAATCAACTCGAACAGACGCCAGCCGCGCATGGCGGGAACCGGCGTTTGCTTCTTTGGTCTGATTGATTCCGCCAGACGCCGCAGACACACTCCCGGGACAACCTGTATGGGTCACCGTCACCTTGATCATAGGCATGTGGTCATTGTGCAGCATTGTCTTGGATAAGAGTGCAGTTGCACCACTCAGAGGAACATCTTCAACATCCCATGCCACCTCTCCCGCGACATTGCTGGGCAGTTCTGTCTGGGCACGGCACATACACCTTCTTTTCACCTAAGAGCATGCTGTTTCTCATAGCACCGCGCGGCACAGCTTCCCATAATCTTCTGCTGGCACCTGAACCGGGCATTCACGGACAGAGATGGAAACGCTGGAGCCTGGGGGCCATGACATGACCGTTTCACTTCTGCGCCACTTGATCGCTCAGTCCGTTCTCAGTCTCTTGTTTCCTCTCTCCCCTTCTTCTCTATGCTCGGCCATCTTCATTCCAAGTGGGAGGGAGATTCTGAACGAGGAGACTCTTTCCAATGTTTGGTCTTCAGGGGGAGGACGTACATCTTGACCAACTGTCAAGCACACGGGCACGCTACCACTGCGGAAGAGACCTTCCCCATACCTACACAGTTGTACGCAATGTTGTCATTGCCCCAGTAGGGTCGCTGACTCGTCGACTTGACAAGCAGTCAATTCAGCATATTTCTCCAAGCTAGTCTCTTTTTGGTTGTCTCTTCCAGTGTAGGGCTTGTTTTCCCACACTCTTTTTATGCATCTTGTTTGTATCGAGGTACTGTTCTAGATCCACACCACCACCCACACCCACACCCACCCTGTCTCCCGCCGTTCAGTGGCCCTTGCCAGAACCCCTTACCCCGACCCCTGGAGCGTGCCTCGCTCTCTCTGTCGTTCCCGGCCTTTCTCCCTGTCAGGCTTGTTGAACCCATGTATACCCGCAGCCCACTGGGGTGCGGATTCCTTGCCGGCCCAAACTCGTTCTGGGTGCTCGATGTATGGATACCTCAGGAGCAAGGTGCAACCGCCATGTACAGCAGTACCCCAAGCAGGGTATGTGTGGGGATGGGTACTGCCTCTCTCCACGTTATAAGCCTAGCCTCCCCGGCCCCATGCTCCAAGACCTTTGAGGCTGAGGGCCATTGCCATCGAAAAAGCTTCAAGCTACCCCAAAGATAGATTGACAAGCTTTGTTCGAAATCTTGCTACCTGATCGCTTCACGGGCCAGAGACCCGACGCCAGACCTCACACGTTCAGTTGACATCCTCATATAAGTCGACGAGTGCCTTTTTGCCGTCAACTTTATAGCGGCAGATCCATACCATTACTGACAACGTAGGTGGTGTTCCACTCGAATTCCTTTTTGTTTTCTTAGTGTGTCGTCTTTTCCCCCCAGTCTCGTTTCTCCATACAAGATGGACTCCTCCTATTCAGACCAAGACTTCGACAACACTTACTCACACAACGCCAGATCGAGAGCCGGTAGCGGGGTGTCTACAACAGAGGGGCTCTTTCAGAACTTGCAGCTTGCCGAGTCTCCGTCCCTGGAAACCGGTTCCTATACCAGCAGCAGCAGACCACCATCCTCGAGGGGCCTGGCCTCATCCGTATACTTAAGTCCGAGCCTGTCCCACCCGCCCACCTATCTTTCCAGCTCCATCTCTCCACATCAACAACACTTTGCACACCTACCCTCGGACACTGAGTGGTTCGAAGCGGAACACGCATCAGTCCACGGCACACCACTGTTACGACTGGAACCTGCACCAGACCACGGGGAAACGCCTTCGACGTCATCGCCGCTGGCATCGATCGAGCCGGAAAGCATGAGGTACTACGCACGCCAGTTAGAGAGTTGGAGAAAGGATCGTGACTGACACCCATCCAGCGCCGTTGCCGTATCATACGATCCAGGATTCAGCATGGGAAGCAGATCTTCTTTCACTTGGCCAGGTGCGTCAGCCTCCCTATCATGCTGGACGGACAATGCATGCTCACCAGCAGCAACAGTATTGGACTCTGGAAGCGGTCTTTTGCCGCCTGGCATGAGCCACCACTACGGATCAGAAGCCAGTTTATCACCGCCCAGCGGATCACGATCGATCACGGGCAGCCCGCCAAGAAACACACTCACGCCGGAACAGAGGGAACTAAAACGCCAACGAGACCAGGCCCGACACAGTTCGAAGATGCACGCTCGCGGGCGAAGGGCGGGAAGTGGCTCCGAATCAGTGTACTCACCTCCAGTAACGCTGGCCGACTTGACCACAGGCTCCTCCACGATGCCGATTTATACCACCGCGCCGTCTCAAATGTCGCTCATGGCCGAACCTACAACGTCACATTATTTGCCGCCCTTCTCGCCTCCCCTTCCAGATCAAAGCCAGACAAACATGTTCCCGAGTCCCTACCCGCCACAGTCGTACATGCCAGACTACGGCTACCAGCCATCTCCGGCCCCGAGTCTACCATCGCACTATGGGTATGTTTCCAACACGGGAAACAATCGGCCGGTTACTGACACCTTCCTCAGCAGCAGACCAGTCATGGGAGACCCGAATCTTGGCATGTACTCAGTTCCACCAGTGATGGGCCCAGGACCTCAAGATACGAGCGGACAGGTACGAGTGGTACACAGCCGACCAAAGCCACAGTGTTGGGAGCACGGATGCAACGGTCGCCAGTTTTCTACCTTCAGCAACCTTCTCCGGCACCAGCGTGAAAAGTCAGGACAGGCCACGAAGGCGACGTGTCCCAACTGCGGCGCAGAATTCACACGAACCACGGCGAGAAATGGGCATTTGGCACACGACAAGTGCAAGAAGAAGAGCAGCAACTGAGCTCCAGCGGGCTGCGGGTGTTTCTGGATTTGCGTTTCGACTACAATTTCTATTCTGATTTCTGTACACATCTCTTTTGCATGGCGAGATTTTGGGAGGGAATTTGGGTTCTTTTCTTCTGGACATTTTATCCTTTCTCTATACATTTCTTCTCTGGTACATTATGTCTTTTTTTTTCTTTTTTTTTTTCGTGAATTTTTCTAGAATTAGGGGACAGTGAAGGGTGCTTCTCAGGGGGTCACATATACTAGGGGATGGCGAAAACGATGCCGAACTTATAGGTGTAGAAGACTAGGAGTTCGGCAGCTTGCTCCAGAAAAGGGAGCCGGCAACAAGGGGGGTTTTGAGGTGTGTTATTTGAGGACCTGTGATGGCGCAGGTTACGAGCCTTCTTTGGCCAACTACTATACCCATTTCATTAAGCAGAAATATGATCAATGTAACAAGCACCTTTGAGTGTGCATCTGCAAAGGTTACAGCTCGTCTTCAGTTCCACGCTGCCGCTATGCAAATCAAGGTGCCTCCTTCCCAATCAGTCCAGTTGGAAGAAATGGGAAGTTGGCCCGTCAGTCAGACGAACTAGAAGCAGGAGGCACGCACTGGGTCCTTCCCGCTCCCGAGTTCCTACCTCAGAAGGAGGGCTGCAGTCTGACCGTTGCTCCTCCTTCCCGCAGTCAACTCCCGTGGGGCGCCTGCCAGGTTGATCCCCCAGTGACGTTGTCAGCCTCCAGTTCAACATCACTTCACCGCCTTATCATCCGACCTCTGACTAACTAACACACGCCGGTGCGCAAAATATACAAAGTCCTCACGGCAACATCTGTTTGCTGTCTGCCTTCCAGAGCAAGTGATGTCGGGCCCTACCTGAGGGCTTTTGGCAGAGATGACTGTGGCTGAACCCAAGGTGCGGCCAACTCGGCGGCCATCTTCAATGGCGGCAAACCGACCACCAGAAACTCACAAAAGCCATGTGCTTTCCAACAGTGCACTCGATAGCTTTTGATCTCCGCGCGTGGACGGCAGATGGTCGCCAAACACATTGCCATGGCTGTGCTTGTCAGGTATGTCTCCCCTGATCAAGGAATGCTCAGGGGCAGCCTTCATGAGGGCTCCTACAGCGGATCAATTCTGCTGTTGACGAGATGACCAGGCCGTGCTGATTTCAAATGCAGTCATTTCCTTTCACACAGACATCACACGATCGAGGGCCATATCCATGAGAGCCCAGCATAGAGCGCTAGCCTATCATGTGTCCCATCTGCGATCTTCAGGCCCAACTATTCATGGACTCGAACAAGTGCCTGACAAATCCTCGGATTTTGGCTCCTCCTCCGACACAGCAGAGAGCGGGCATTTGTGCCTTTGTGACCGGGAACTTCACCCACAATCCCCAACAGCTCACACAGGTGTCACGATTTGATACCAACCTCGGTCTCCAGGGGAAAACGCCACTGGGCCATTGGAAGACCACGTCGTGCGAACAAACAAGACTGGTATCATGGCCACAGACAACAAGCGATCTCCAAGAATGCCCTGGCCCAATTAGGAGACTCGAGGGTAGCCAACAGTCGACATCGGGCCCGCACCAATGATGTTTGAGAGAATTCTGCTGGCTGAAATCAATCTCAACTTTCCCCTGGAAGATCTGTTTCAGCGATGACTTTGTTACCCGCGAAGACCGAAGACCATGCGATAACACTCAGCGGGGAGTTGCTGCTGTCAAGTCTGGCATAAGGGTTACACAGCCGCGCTAGAAATAGCTCCAAACCAGAACATGTCAACCACCACCTCAAATCGTGTTGGACACTCGTGAATGGGCAGCGTCCGGGCTCGTGCTATGACAGTGCGAGCAGATGACCAAGTGGTGAGTGCAATTCTTCACCTCTCACCGTATTTTGTGACAACGCGAGCATCCGAGCTCACCCAGCATGCTGGGTCCCTAGCCATTTCCGCGGCCACTGTGCCACCAAGATGCCTAATGGTGGCGGGGAGCTCAAAACACCGAGTGTCTTCTTGTGAGATAGCATGGCGACCCGGGTCTGACTCGGCCCATCGGCTCCGGCGAGGTGTCCGGCGGTCATGCTCGCTAACGAAGATCCGACAGCTTCCGGAAGGTCAGACGTCCGTACGGAGGCCGTGGCCCGGCTATATCTCCGCGATTCAATGCCAAGACCGGATTTAGATCCAACTGTACCACAACGACGTCGACATCGCATCTGGAATTGTTCGAGAAGCGGTCATCATATCATGCATGGTAAATCACTGCGTCTGAAGGCGATTTGAACAATACGAACGGTCACATATGCTTGTGTTACCCATCGCTCGGAGTCCGGATCATCAGGAGGACGTGTACGGCACAAGCACAACCGAGCAACCCGACAGTTGTGCTGCGTCATGCTCTTCCATGGAGCGTTTGCCGTTTTGGAGCGTCAGCAGCCACCGGCCATATAGGCGCCCCTCGGGGATGAGCTGACGGAGAGGATCCCGTCGGCCCGCAAGCAGATTTCCACCTACCAGGTCTGGCTGACAGAACTGGTGAGTTTGGCAGTACTTTTTTATTCTGTTGGCCCGGCATACCTGTTGGAGCACATCTCGTTGGTCAGTCTCCAGACCGGCCTGTTACCAACAGTTGCTGCGCAGCAAGTGAAGCGCAGCAGCCCGGTAAATGCATATCAAGGTTTGTTTCGCTGCAATCACACCCCCTTACCAGAAGGCAAGCCTCCCTTGTTTTCTGTTTCTTGGGTGCGATTCAACCATGCAAGGACGGTTCCTGACTCTGCAACGATGTTATGAAACACGACCACGGCATCTGGGGATCGTAAGTGCATTTTCTCCTGGTCATAAATTTTTACTGATCGGTGGAGATTGTTGTTATGCGCCCGGATTGCTGTAAACAAGAATGAACTGTGTTTGTCTGGTAACGGTCCCATGCGGGTCAACCATTTGCGGCTCAATCCCGCTTCCCCGAGGCCCGTTACACCCCGGTACCGGGGCCCGCTTCCAACATTGCCGACTCCGGCGCCGCTCTGCCGTTGGCCACTTGAGCAGATAGTGAAAAAGACTTGGGTGCAGGCAATCTGTGGAGAATGGCCCGGGGTTCTTCTTTGAGATGCCGTTGCTGTCTCGGTGCTGGATCCATATCGAGACCCGGAGAACGGGACACCCCCGGCAGGCAGCAGCGACCGGTCCCTGTCCAAGCACGGCTCGTTCGTCTTTTTTTATCTACGGTCAGCCACGATATCAACAAGAGGACGCGCTTATTTCCTAGCTACAGGGTGGAACCAGGTGATGCGACAACACCAGCCCCCGTTGCAACATCGAGTGGCCAGCTCAACATTTTCAAGGGAATGAGACAGCTTCTAGAAAGACACTGCGCCGTAGGGGGGCGTCCCATGGTGACCCGATGATGGCTGGGTTTCACCTGGGATATGGTATGGTATCACTGGGTGCTTCTCGCGGCTAGCATTTACGGATTGCGTCTATACGAACCCGCCAGTGCGATAGGCGGAAGGCAGATGTCAAGTTTTGAGGATTACCCGCGGGCGGACCAAGGTGACGGTGCGATGCACCACCAGCTAAGCCCTGGAACCCGGTGAGCTCCACACCGGGTGCGAGGATCCTTGTGGGGTTTTTTGTTTCCTTACAGGACTAACGACGCCATGAGCAGGGGTGGTGACAGAGAGACGGATAGCGCTCACCATGTTGGCCGGAACTTTGGCAGGGATGGGTATCCGAACAACAGGTAGGTTTTCTGATTTGCTCCGTGATAGCGGTACGACATCGAGATGGCGAGATAAGACCGGCGGGATGGAACCATGGCGTTCTTGACAAATCTCACTGCTGGGACTCAAAGTGGCGGCAGGATATCAGATCTCATGGTGTACGAGACGAACCGGACAGGGCCCAACGACTACGCTTGTGTTCAGTTTTTACCAAGGCGGAGTTGCACAAGCGCTGCGCTGGCAATAGACCGGGGGGCCGGGGGGGGGGTGTTCTTGAATTGGAAACCGATAATGAGAATGATTTCTATTGTTGTCGAGGATTACTGGCTTGTGGAACGGAAGTTGTGGTGGTTGGGGGAGATGGTTCAGACACGACGAGATGAGGTGTGGCGCATGGAGCCAGAGTTTGTTGTCGAGGACAAGCCAGAAGACGTCAACAAACTGCTAAACTTGGAGGGTTTGTTAGGGGAGGTATTTTCCCCGTTGCTTGGTTTTGATGGTTAATGTGTTGGTTTGCAAGAGCATGTGGTGTTTCAATATTGCATTTCCGATATGATGATCATTACTGATGACGATGGGATGAACTTTGTCAGCTAACGAATGCATTTTTTGGTTGTGAGAACGCCTCAAAACGTGGCACATGCAGGGAATTATAGATTGAGGACCCCGATAAATCCGGGCCGTCTTGTCGATGAGAATAAATCCGACCAATACGACGGTCCATGTTATATAGGTAGACGGAGATGCCCGTTTTGGATGAGACGGTTTGTGTTGTTGTTGTTGTTGTTGTTGTTGTTGTTGTTGTGGTGTGATTGAATGGGAATGCGGGGAGAGGAGAGGGGGAGTTTGCTTATTAGGTTGACCGCCTTCTTCATCAGGAGGCCAGACAGGGCAAGCAATAGCAAGCGATGCTTCATGTGCCGCGGTGAGGCAGCGAACATCCCGCGCGAGGTTTTCCCGTGAAGGGGACGATTGGGTTGGGGGCTACCGAGAGTGGTGGTGGTGGTGGTGGTGGTGGTGGTGGTGGTGAATAGAGGGGTGGTGAATGGAGGGGTGGTGAATGGAGGGGTGGTGTTGTTTTGGCACGTGCGGCTTGAGGGATGTGGGAGAGATGCCGGGTGGGAGAAAGATGTATGCACACCTTGCCGGGTTACCTAAGCTGGGGGGTAGGGATAGAGCAAAAACGGAGGATATCTATCGATTTACTGAATAATTTATGCTGGTGGAAGGATCTGCACTATTGACGTTATCCGCCTCTAGCGCGCGTTAGTTCGCGCT